TCTGGGGGTCGGGTCAAAGAGTTTCATGCGCTCCTCTGGCGCAGGGGTTTCTGCTCTTTCGGTCCGGGTAGTCTTTTCTTAGTTTGCAGCCGTCTCCTTCTTTTCTGGCGAAGAGTGAGTCTGCTGCTTTTCGAAGGGATCCTTGGGTTGTTGATGCTTGGTTGGTTAGGCCGGGGATGCATGATGTTTTGTGTCTGTTTGTAGGTCTTCGCCGTTATTTGCGCGTTACTGCCTCTGTGGCAGAGGACGCGCTTCGGGTTGACCCAGTTTCCCTTCTTCCCTTTATTCCAGGGCGTGGGTATCCCAGGTTGTCCTCAAGATTATTCGGTCCAGCCAGCCTGTGGTCTTTCCCCGTGCCCACGCCGTTCGTAAGTTCGGCATTCGGCTGCTATTTTGGTAATGTCCTAGCCTATCTTTTGGGCACGGGGCTATTGGAGGTCGAACAGGGTCCTGGCTGCACGTTACCATGTTAATGTTCCTAGTCCTTTTCGGGCGTGTACAGCCTTGGGTCGCAGGTCGAGGCCTGTTGTCTCGACTTTGAGTTGAGGAGCGAATGACGACCATCTTCCAGGTGAGTCCCTTTTCTTCTTATGTTTTGTTAAGTAGCTCTGGGAGGCCGAAGGAGCTCTCCACAGTAAACCAGCGTTGAATGTAATAAAACGCCATTTTCTGGGTGAGATCCGGAGGCTTCCCGGCATCCCTCCGGTCAGCGTTTTTTCGCGTTTTTCGATACTCAGCCTCTAAACTGAGAAGAGTTGCCGGCGTGGAGGCCTGGGACCATCCCCCCTGTCCACCTCCCGGGAAGGGGGGGTTGCACAGACGGATGCGCGGCAATTGTGGTGGCGTTGTGTTTGTTTCCTTGTTTTTGATTGGGGGAGTTCTGTTTACTAGTTCAGCTTTCGGTTTGCAATTTTTGACCAGCAGTAGTTTGTTTTGAAATTCCTACCTTTCTGGGTGCCTGACCTGGTAGATGGCAGACAAAGACGCCTTCCAATGACACGGGTGTGTCTTTAGGCCATTGCTCCTCGTGCCTCTCTTGAAGGTGGGGCCAGGTTCTGGCTCTGGTCTCCGGTGGGCTTAGAACTCCTTCGATTGACTGTTGCCACGGTCTAATATATACACATCAGCCCTGTATAGCTCCGAGGAGCCTCCAGGTCTCGCCCAGAAAATGGCATTTCAATATATGCAATGCTGTTTTTTTTTGGGGGGGGGAGGGGACTCGGAATTAGAGGTGTTGGTGATTTTCACTTTGGTTCCATATATGTTTCCTCTTTCTTCCCCATTGGGTGTGGTGCTTCCGGCTTCATTTCCATACACCTTGCTCTAAGGGTTTTGGAATCAGATTGGGGGTTTACCTCAGGGTATGGCTTGACCCTCTTTGGGGGGTTGCTCCTTCCACCTCAGGCAGGGAGGCAGATGAGCCACCTAGTCCAACTGAGTTTTTTTTCTGGGGGCAGCTCCTTGTGGCTCCCTGAAGCTACCATACTGATATAGAGCCAAACAACTAGATGCCATCAGTTGCGAAGTTATATTTGGGCTACCGGGGCCCAGGAGCCAGAACCTTGCCACCTCTAGAAAGGTGCAGGGAATGGTGGCTCTTGTGATAAAATTTCTATAAATTTATTCATTTCTGCCACCACTGAGGACACCCCCAGAAAGTCAGCAAAACAAAACATGCCACTGCTGATTATAAGTGAGAACGGAGCCTCGAGAACTGTCTAAAGAACTCCCCCAACAATATAAACAAATGAAAGTAAGTTCACAAAACTAGCGCAAGCTCAGTCACCCCCCTCCCCCCCCCCCTCCTCTGGACGAAGGAGGGAGTCAGCCTGGGGTCAGCCCGGGGTCAGCCGGTTGCTCCACCCACACTTTTATTGTTGATGATAACTGTGCCTGATTGCCCCCCCCCCCTGTCACTCTAGCTTCAGTGTCCTATTATTGCTAAGTAGTGGTTTTTGCCTTTGTGGCTGTTTCTGTGCACTCTTCTGCAGCAGCAGCCAGGAGTTAAGAGTGCTTTGAGCTGCATTTGCATGTGCACAGGTTTATCTCCCATGTGTGTTCCCTAGTGCTGCCCTAACACTGCCAAGGTTGTCTTCCCTGGAGTGTTCAAGAATCACTTCCTAAGAGGTCCTCCTCACTTGTCGTGAGTCCTCACCCTAGGTAAGTCTGTTGTTTTTGGCTTTCTGTCTTCCCTCAGGTTGGTAGTGATTCTGGCACTGAGGTTTGCGCAAGCTTACCAGGACGCTGAGGTTGGCCTTTACAACTGTGTGATTGGACTGTGTTGGCCTACTCTTCTCTCTTTCTCTAATATTCTATAAAAACAATAATAATAATAACAACAACAATAATAATAATAATAATAACAATAATAATAATAATAATAATTAATAATAATAACACAAATTACATTAATGTGATATATATAAATGAGAAAATCAACTAGGGCAGTGAGGTGGGCGTGGGGGCTGGTCGGCCGAGCGGTCAGCATGCCAGACATGTGATCCTGTGGTCCCGGGTTCGATCCCAGGCGCCAGCGAGAAACGATGGGCAGAGTTTCTTTCACCCTATGCCCCTGTTACCTAGCAGTAAATAGGTACCTGGGAATTAGTCAGCTGTCACGGGCTGCTCGAGGGATCCAGGGATCCCATCACAATGGTTGTACTCTTCAAGTCACTTGTGTTGTCCCGTCTCGAGTACTGCTCGGTACTCATTTTCCCCTTCAGAGCAGGAGAGGTTGCTGAAATAGAGGGAATACAGAGAACATATACGGCACGCATAGACGAGATAAAACACCTAAATTATTGGGATCATCTGAAAGCTCTCCAAATGTACTCTCTAGAAAGGAGACGAGAGAGATACCAAATAATATACACATGGAAAATACTGGAGGGCCAGGTTCCAAATCTACACAGTAAGATAACAACGTACTGGAGTGAACGATATGGAAGAAAATGCAAGATTGAACCAGTGAAGAGCAGAGGTGCCATAGGCACAATCAGAGAGCACTGTATAAACATCAGAGGTCCGTGGTTGTTCAACGTCCTCCCAGCGACTATAAGAATTATTGCCGGAACAACCGTGGACATCTTCAAGATAAAACTGGACTGTTTTCTAAGAGAAGTTCAGGATCAGCCGGGCTGTGGTGGGTATGTTCCCCTGCTGGCCGCTCCAAGCAACAGCCTGGTGGACCAAACTCTCACAAGTCGAGCCTGGCCTCGGGCCGGGCTTGGGGAGTAGAAGAACTCCCAGAACCCCATCAAGCAGGTATGCTTCCTGGGGGTGGAGGCCTGGTCGAGGACCGAGCCGCGGGGACACTAAAGCCCCGAAATCAACTCAAGATAACCTACGACCGCGGCATTGCCATCCGCATACTCTACCACTAGACCATCGTTGACTTGTAAAAGTCATGCAACCAAATTTTTACTGAAATCACAGGAAGTGTGGCGGTCCCTACTGAAGCCAGTCCAAGTTTTTATGTATGACACCACAAGCACTCGAATGGAAGGGCAAAGTGGTCCTACACCTTACGCCCCAACTGGAGGATCCCACACCCCTCACACGGAGGGGGTGTGGAATCCAGGAGCCACCAGGGCTCCTCCAAGTAGGAGACATTTCATTGCATTTAACTCTGGGTTCATATCAATACTTCAGGCTGGGCAAAGAACTAGTCATAAAAGTGGATGGTGAAAAAAGGAAGCAAGTCAAATGTAATTGCTGTTTGGTAAGAAAAGAAAGCCAAGGGTCTTCAGCCAGTGAGGCCTTTGCTGAACTCGTGTATTAGTGTTGTGTTAGGTTAGGTAAATGTATTGTATTGAAGCCCTTCATCAAACAAACTGATAAAGTCCAACAAGGTAAATTGAAATTTGTTATTGTCAATACAGTAAATTATTTGAGTACTTTACATATATGGAGATCCTCCCCTAACCCAACACAAAAGAATGTTAGTGAGCAACAACAGAACTCTGCAAGATCTCCTAAATATATTTGCAAAGAACCACCACAGAAACTAGTGAAGAGGAACCATGATAAACAAAGCATGAACGTGGAACCTGTCAATATTATGCATGGGGTGTGTGTAAATATGGGCTGTCGGGAAGAACAAATGGAGCATGCAAATATAACCACCCAAGAAACTGCAGAAATACCCTAAATACAGGAACATGAAGATCTGAAGCTGTGACTTGTTTTTTGTCTATATCTGATATGAAAATAATGGGGGAGATAAGCTCTGTGCAACCACTGAGGAGACCACCAGAAATAGAGCATTTAGTATAATGAAATACCCCATTCTGTGGTCTCTCAGTGCCTCTCCTTTTCTTGTTCAGTTTTCTCTACTTACACATAGGTTCTGGGAGATTAGCTCAGACATGAGTGTAATGGTAGTGGTCTCGCTGGACCCCTGGTTGTCTTGTGGTACCATCTGGTGATGGCAGGAGGAAGCATTGCAGTCATATTGTGGTATTTGGGATAGTTTTTGTTTTGTATTCGTTCATACCGAGGCCTGTATGACGTTCATAGGAGGCCTGGTCAACGACCGGGCCACAGGGACGCTAAGTCCCAAAATCACCTCATCTCAAGGTATACCAAACACTTCTCAATGCATTTATTTTTGCAACTCCATTTCAGACATTCTTGCGGTTCCCCAATACACTGAGTATTTTAATTTCCTCCATTCACCGCCTCATTGAGGAGACAGGACTCTGGTACTGTACCTGCGCTCAGTAGGATGCGAGATGATCGCAGATGCCTAGTATGTTAGATTTGGTTGTGGTGGTAATATCTGGGGAGCCACTAAAATGGGCTTTTTTATTATACTTGATGCTCTATTTTTAAGAATGTTCTTTTTGTCTTTTTACATTATTATGTATAGTATGTTATATATGATAGTGAAATGTTGCTCCTCATAAAATTATCTGCAGTTTCTAATATATATATTTATTTATTTATTTATTTATTTATTTATTTACTTATTTATTTTTTATTTTTTTACCAACTGCAAGGCTGGTCATGTGATCAATTTTGAGTTTCCTAAGTTTATTGCTGACTACATACATCGATGTGGACGAATAGGAAGAGTTGGAAGTCAAATTACTGGTCTAGTGACAAATCTGGTTCACCGTCCCGAAGAAATTGAACTGGTTCAGAAGATTGAGGTAAGCTCACATAATAACCTTGTTTCAACTTAGCATGTACTCTCCTAATTGTATTCATCTAATTGTGCTTGTAGAAGTTATGCTTTGGCTCTTTGGTCCCACTTCTCAGTTGTCAGTCAAATGATGTTCTTGAGCCTATTGGGCTCAAGAACCCAATAGGTTCATGCTTCATGCTTTATCATATATTTCACAAAATTTGACATACATCTCATTTACTTCCTTGCCTAACAGCAAATCTTTCCAGTCAGATTCCTGAAAGAAATGTCTAAGTTACCCATAATGTCCTCTCCTGAAATCAAATTTTTCAACTGCTTTAACTTCCTCATTTTGCAGATTATAACTTGATGCATACTTTATTCCCAAAAAGACATGGTCACTTTTACCCAAAGGAGGAGCGTACTGAATGTCAAATATCTCTTCCTCTTTCCTGGTAAATATAAAATCCAGCATGAAAGGAACATTCCCTTCCCTCATCCTCGTAGCTTGTTGAATGTGTTGATACATGAATGTTTCCAGGATGAGGGTTTACGAATCTACAGGTACACATTCTTATTGGGCCTACATATTCTTGAGCCTATTGGGCTCTTATCATTTCAACATTTGAAACTGTAATTACCTAAGTGTACTTACAGGATGAGTGCTATGCTCATGGTTAGGTTAGGTTAGGTTAAGGGGCCTCGTAGCCTGGTGGATAGCGCGCAGGACTCGTAATTCTGTGGCGCGGGTTCGATTCCCGCACGAGGCAGAAACAAATGGGCAAAGTTTCTTTCACCCTGAATGCCCCTGTTACCTAGCAGTAAATAGGTACCTGGGTGTTAGTCAGCTGTCACGGGCTGCTTCCTGGGGGTGGAGGCCTGGTCGAGGACCGGGCCGCGGGGACACTAAAGCCCCGAAATCATCTCAAGATAATCTCAAGATACTCTGTCATATAACGCTTTGAAACTATTGATGATTATGACCTTCACCACCTTCTCACTTACTTATTCCAACTGTCTACAACTGTTTGGAATTATGAACTTTCTAATGTTATTTTGGTAGGTTTATTTTCATAGTTTGAATCTATGTCCTCCTGTTGTTTAACCCTCAAAGCGCTAGGGGCCCAAATGGAATTCACACCCACAGGCGCAACAAAAAAAAAAAATTCCAAAAAATTCTTTCGTCTTATAGAAGTGTACATTTTTGTTCCCTGATCACGGAAAAAATAACAAAAAAATCGTAGGTGGCATATTTTAGCCGCAATAGGGTAGGGAAGTGTGGCAAAAAAGGGGCATTGGCAGAGCCTTCGCTAGACGAGGTCTACTCCGCCCGAGCTGTCAGACGGCAGTTGCCACAAATATATTATTACCTAGTTATTTCAATGCCTCTGATTGTTTTTTTCTTAGTTTTTTTGCAGTAATATTATTCCATACAGTGAATTGTGGTATATTTATATTATAAAATGTGTGAACCATCACTGTACTCAAAATTATGGTGTGCATATTAGTGATTCAATTATTATGTTCATAAAACAATAAACAAATAGTTTTGCTGTTGTTACACTATATACACAGGTTATATATAAGTATTTGCATGTTTTGTACACCATAACGAACTACTAAGTTGGTCTTGTGAGTCAAAAAGCAACGAGGAGTGAAACACCAAACACCAGCGAGCCACTCACTGCCACTCCCTCCCTCAACACCACCTCACTCACCCTCATTCACCTCCCACAATACTGTTTCTGTATTTATTCACTATACACAGACGTTATATATACGTATTTACATGTTTTGTTCACCATAACTGTACATCTAAGCTTGTATGGTGAGTGAAGGCCATAAGACATAGCTACTCACATAGTCAGCTGATCGGCGGCTGCCCTCAAGGCCAGAGGCACTAATATTTGTCCTCCAACAATATTGTTTGTGGTGTTATTACGCTATATACACACATTATATATAAGTATCTACCTGTTTTATTCACCATACCTGAACAAATAAGCTGGTATGGTGCCCAAAGACCATAGTGGCCATCAGTAAACACCATGACAAGTCGTGCAGACGACGCTCCTCCCTCACCAAAATGGCGGCTCCCAACCTACTCCTCTCGGTGTTATCTCACACTATACACACGTTATATATAAGTATCTACATCTGTGTTCACCATAGCGAACCACTAAGCTGGTATGGTGAGTGCAGTCAATAAATGGTGGCCACACACAGTCAGAAGACGACACCACAACCCTCCCTCCACAGCCTTACTCCTCCCTCCGTGGAGCACAGCGCTAAATATCACCACAATCCTGCTATTATCAGAATCCTGGTCAGTTTTATCACAGTCAGGGGGCTTCAGTAATACTATCACTGCTAAATAATAGCAGTATCATTTATATTATGGTATTTGTAGGCGATGCTGTGGTCACAAGCTGAACAGCGGTGCTGTGAGCTCGTGCTGCGTGCGCCAGCCTTGGTGGCTTGCTCAATACTGACGCTGTAACACCCAAGAATGTTGGCCTGGATTTTTTTTCTAGGTGGCATCTGGCAACTATCGGTCGTGGCTGTACTATAGCTGCCCCTATCCCAGGCGGGGCGTTTAAATTATAGCGCTAGACACGAAATCATATATAAATGATGTGCACGGTTTCGGTTTTGTCACTGATATCATTTATATATGATATGCGCGGTTTGAGGGTTAAGTTGTAGTTTTTCAAAATAATTTATTGTCAATTTTGGTGATTTGTGTTACTATTTTGTACAGGAAGACAATTACAGTACAAGAAACAATAAGAGAAAAAGTCCTGTGAGTAAACATTGTCCAACATTAACACCAGAAGCTCATGTGTACACAATAGCATCAGCAACATATGGGAAGTTGCCAAACACAAGAACATAATTTCAGAATCTAAAAAAATGTCCATACACATTGCCTATGTGAGACCATGATTTGAATATGCAGCCTTTGTAAAGCACAAACAAAAACTTCAGATAATTGAGAGGTTTACAGCTAGATTAGTACCAGAATTGAAAGGCCTCAGCTTTGAGAACAGGATGAGAACTCACCCTCACAACCTTAGAGTAGTGTAGAAACAGAGGGGATATGATAACTACATACAAGGTCTTGAAGGGAATAGACATAGTAGACAGAGGAAGCCTAGTTAAACTAAAACAGGTAGGACAAGGGGACATAAGTGGAAGCTAGACATGCATTTGAGTTAGAGATATAAGGAAGTTCTCGTTCCCTTTTTTGGTAGTCAGCCAGTGGAATGGATTGAGAAAAGAGGTTTTTGAAGATTATTTCATCCACCACTTTAACACTTTAGCTGGGCCAGTAGGCGACCTGCTGCACACTTTACAAGGGCAAATTACAAGAGAGCCAAACCTTTACAAGGGTTTGGCTCTCTTGTGCATGCAGCAGTGCATGCACCAGAGTACAGAGATGCTCCAGGATATCTCAAATTCCTAAATATTGTAGAACAGGTTGATGAACGTGAGTGGTGTCCCAAGAAATATAAAGGTGTAGTGTATTTGAAAAACAGACGAGATAAAAGTTGCCCTAGTGAAAACAGTGAAGACGACAAAATTCAAGATGGCCACCGGCAGGAAGAAAAACAAAACAGAACTAGATTTTGGTTGATTCAATGAGGAAAGTATTAATATAAGCAGTCTACACAACAAATTGGCAAAATTAGCATTAATGTGAACTATCATGTTGAAAAAATCCGTAAATTGAGAGAAAGTAATGACCACTTGAGTAGCAAAGTCTTAAATCTTGATGGATTAGTGAACGATTTATGCAAGGATAAAAATAAATTGTAAGCAAATTGCAAAGCCATAGAAGATGAAAATCAACTCTTGAAAATAGCTTTGGAAGAAGTCAAAGTAAATCTATCATAAATGACTACGATAGGTTAGGTAAGGAAATCTAACAGGAAAAACAGCTTTTGTCAGTACAGATGGAGGAAGTTACACGGAATAGAACAGTGCAAGAAGGATATGCAACTCACCTATGCACAAGTAGCCAAGGAGAAGGAAAAAATAAAAGCAGCAGTAAAGGAAGCCAAACACTGCAGTAACCAGGACAAAACAAACATTAGGCTGGAAGTCAGAAAGGAATTGGTATCAAACCCAAAATTGGTGCAAAACGCAGTCAATCGAAGTAAGTCCCTGTATAAGTCCTGTGTAAGTGTACTATTAATTTTTGGTTGCAAAAAAAAAAAAAAAAAGAGATAACATCTAGGTCAGAAAGAGCTGTATAAGAAGAGAAAGTAGTAGATAAAATAGTTGGGCTAGTGGAAGGTCTTACAACCAAAGAGAATGTCTGCACCTATATGAGAATTGGCAGGTACGTAAAAGGGAAAGATCGGCCCTTGAGGATCATTCTAAACAGTGCTAAATAGATGGAAATAATACAAAGAAATGTTAGGAAATTACAAAGTGATGAGGAAAGGAAATTCTGGTCATTGCGCAGCCCGTCCTCCAAAAATGGGGGCGGTAAATATAAGGAGACAAATAAGTGCAATTATGTACTATTCATAGCAGTTAGGAATTGTACTTGTTTTCACTTTGTATTAAATCGTACTGTCATATATATTGTGAATTTTAGAGTTTACCTGAAAAACTGAATAGAAAACCACAACCTCACCTAACCGTCTTAGTTTTTGAAGATAATAATTTTATTGCTTCTTAATTACAATTAGTACTTAACCTATAGCTATATTGATATTACAGTTTTATAAAACTAATAAAACAAAACTAAAATATATCAATAAATTGTAAAGTAACTCAGGATATTTTAAAATTTTGTATAAAATCTATATTGTTTAATAAACCTGAAAAAGAAATTCCTGAAATTTAAAACTTGTGTATTGCAAATTCATATTGAAAACTTCATCCTAAAATTTTGAGTGTCTTAACAGAAAACGAGGAGAATTAAATCGTGGGAGGGGGTTGGGTAAATGTAACAGCCCCATAAGTGCAGTTATGCACTGTTTATGACAGTAAGAAGATGTACTTATTACACTTAGTATTAAATCGTACTGTCAATTCGGAGGATGGGTTGCATTAAGACGAGATCTTTCAAAAGAAGACAGAAGCTGAAACCGAACCTTGTCGAGGCAAAATATCTAAATGAGAGCAGGAACAAGGAAGAAATCAATTCTTTTTTTCTATAATTTGATAGGGGTAGGCAGGCCAGTAAAATGGTACAAAAAGGCAAACCAATAAAATCAATAGAGAAAAGGGGAGTGAAGAATAAGGAGAGAGGGAACATGTTCCTGAAAATTGTAAACGCCAACATGGATGGAGTGAGATCGAAGATAGTGGAGTTAAGTGATGTAATACAGCTGCAGACACCAGACATTGTTGCACTTACGGAGACCAAACTTGAAAACGATATTTTAAATGAGGTCATATTCCCAAGGGGCTACTCAATCTGGAGAGGAGACAGAAATATTAGGAAAGGCGGTGGCATTACTGTGCTGGTGAAAGAACACCTAAAGGTAAACGAAATACTGATTGGCAATTCACGAGAAGTGGACATAATAGCACTGGAGATATGCGATCAGGATGATAACTAATAATCATAAATGTACTGTATATAGTCCACCACCATGCAACACACGGTCAAAGGATGAGCTGGATAATAAACGAGAGGGTTTAATAACAATAATGAGAGAGATTATAGCAGTAGCAGATAAAGATAGATCATGACTGTTGGTAGTTGGAGACTTCAACTTGAAATCTATAAACTGGGAGGCATATGAAGCAAGAATAGAGGACTTTTGGACCTGTAGATTTGTAAACCTCATGCTTGAAACATTCATGTATTAACACATTCAACCAGCTACAAAGATGAGGGAAGAATGTTCCCTCCATGCTGGATTTGTTATTTACCAGGAAAGAAGAAGAGATATTTGACATTCAGTACCTTCCTCCCTTGGGTAAAAGTGACCGTGTCTTTTTGGGAATAAAGTATACAATGAGTTATAATCTGGAAAAAAATGAGGAAGTTGAAGCAATTGAAAAAACTGATTTCAGGTGAGGACATTATGGGTAACTTAGACATTTCTTTAAGGAATTTGACTGGAAAGACTTGCTGTTAGGCAAGGAAGTAAATGATATGTATGTCAAGTTTTGTGAAATACAGGGGTACCTAAGTTTTCAGAGTTAGTTCGTACCCAGAAACGGTACTAAAACCAAAAAATACAAAAACCAAAACGAATTTTCCCATAAGAAATAATGTAAATTGAATTAATCCGTTCCACACTCCAAAATATATTAACTAAAAAATACATTTTATACAGAATAATACTCTTAAGTACCTTATCTTTATTGAGGACTTTTGTTGCGATATGGAAGACAGTGAGGAAGGGGGGAGAAGAGGGGTTAGTGTGTGGAAGGGGAGTCCCCTTCCATTATGACAGCAGTGAAAGGGGGTACTCTCTCTCTCTCTGTCACGTTTTTGCAGGCATACCACTAGGACCTGGTTGTGGCTCACTGCTTGCTTATCTTACTAAGAATATGTCTATAGACACTTGTTTTTCCTTAAGTTTTAACACTTGTCTGTAGTGAGACATCATATTGTTTCACAATGAATGATCTCTTGTTTTCCTCTATTGTCATCCTCACAACTATTTTCTTAGGTTGAACATTACCACTGACTTTCTTGGAACCCATGGCATGATATAATAAGAACTTTTATATTCAGAAACCAAAAAAAGTATAAAAATTGTTAAATTCTTCATAAACAATTCAAGTGCGATCATCACTAGGCGGAAGACACTGGTAAACTGAAGCACCACGCTCGCGGTGGACCCATACACGTATAAACAAACTCTGAAAACCGATGCAAACAATGAGTACCTAATCAAGTTTTTCTGAGAAATTGAGTACAAGTACCAAAAAATACGAGAACGCGGGCATACGAAAACCGAGGTTCCACTCTACAGTACTGTACTGTATATGATAAAGGCACAAACAAATTTATACCAAAGCAGAGATGTAAAATTAGGAAACGGGATCGGTTCAACAGAAATTGCGAGAGGGCCAGAGACCAAAAAAAAAGTTCAAAATGAAATCAATATAGGAAGAGCCCAAAACCCCCAAACGTATACAGTACCAGTGATACAAAGATGCGAGAAACAACTACACGGCAGTAAGGAGACAAGCAAAAAGATAGTTTGAGAAAGGGATAGCGGACAAATGTAAAACAGAACCAGGCCTATTCTATAAATTCATTAACAACAAATTGTAGGTAAAGGAAATATTCAGAGGTTGAAAATGGGAAACAGATTCACAGAAAATGAAAAGGAAATGTGTGAAACATTAAACGAAAGTTACAAAGTGTGTTTGTACAAAATGAAATCTTCAGAGAACCAGACACAATAAGAATTCCAGAGAACAACATAGAGCACATAGAGGTGTCTAGAATTGAAGTGAAAGAAATGTTCAAGGAGCTTAGTAAGAACAAAGCAGTTGGCCAGATGACCAGTTTTACTTTGGGTTCTGAGAGAATGTGCACCTGAGCTCAGTATTCCACTTCAACTGATTTTTAAGGCATCCCTGTGTACAGGAGTTGTAGCAGATGTGTGGAAAAAGGCTAACATAGTACCAATCTATAAAAGTGGCAGCAGGGAAGACCCCCTCAATTATAGACTTGTATCATTGACAAGTGTAATAGTCAAAATATTGGAAAAAATAATTAAAACTAAATGGGTAGAACACCTGGAGAAAAACAAAATAATAACAGACAGACAGTATGGTTTTCGATCTGGAAGATCCTGCATAACGAATTTACTTAATTTCTATGATCGAGCCACTGAGATTTTACAGGAAAGAGATGGTTGGGTTGACTGCATCTATCTGAACCTAAAAAAAAGACTTTCGACAGAGTTCCACATAAAAGGTTGTTCTGGAAACTGGAAAATATTAAAGGGGTGACAGGTAAGCTTCTAATATCTTCTCGAGAGGTTATCTTGAGATAATTTCGGGGCTTAGCGTTCCCCTGGCCTCGACCAATCCTCCTTTTTGTTACACACCCCTCAGGAAGCAGCCCGTAGCAGCTGTCTAACTCCCAGGTACCTATTTACTGCTAGGAACAGGGGCATCAGGGTGAAAGAAACATTTTGCCCATTTGTCTCTGCCTCCACCGGGGATCGAACCCAGAATCTCCGGACTACGAATCAGAAGCGCTGTCCACCCAGCTCTCAGGCGCCCTCTGGGTGGAACATGAATGAAAATTTTTCTAACCGACAGATAACTGAGGGCAATAATCAGAGGCAATGTATCGGACTGGAGAAATTTCACAAGTGGAGTACCACAGGGTTCAATTCTTGCACCGGTAATGTTCATTGTCTACATAAATGAGCTACCAGATGGAATACAGAATTATATGAACATGTTTGCTGATGATGCTAAGATAATTGGGAAGATAAGAAACTTAGAAGATTGTCATGCCCTTCAAGAAAACCTGGACAAAATAAGTGTATGGATCAGCACTTGGCAAATGGAATTTAATGTGAATAAATGCCATGTTATGGAATGTGCAATAGGAGAACATGACCCCTGCACAACCTTTAAATTATGTGAGAAATCTTTAAAGAATTCTGATAAAGGAGGAGATTTAGGGGTGGTTCTAGATAGAAAACTATCACCTGAGGACCACATAAAGAACATCGTGTGAGGAACCTATGCTACACTTTCTAATTTCAGAATTGCTTTTAATACATGGATGGCAAAATACTAAAGAAATTGTTCATGACTTTTGTTAGACCAAAGCTGGAATATGCAGCAATTGTATGGTGCCCATATCTTAAGAAGGACGTAAACAAACTGGAAAAGGTGTAAAGACATGCAACTAAGACTACCAAGAAAAGACAAGAACTATGAGAGGAGAGGTTAGAGGCATTAAATATGCCAAAACTAGAAGATAGAACAAAAAGAAGCGATGTGATCACTACATACAAAATAGTAATGGGAATCAATAAAATTGATAGAGAAGAATTCCTGGAACTTCAAAAACAAGAGGTCATAGATTTAAACTAACTAAACAAAGCTGCTGAAGCTGCTACCACTCTGTTTGCAAAATTCACTTTTGCAAACAGAGTGGTAGACAGTTGGAACAAGTTAGGTGAGAAGGTGATGGAGATCAAAACATAATTTCAAATTGTTATATGACGAAGAGTGCTGGGTTGACAGGACACCACAAGTTAATGACGCTGTTTGCATCATCATGCACGCTCCGAATTTTGGTTCCGTGATGGAATATGCAGCATCAAGCAGCGAAAGTGTTATGAAAAAAGCATGATGACCAATAATGTTGAGAGAGGTAGTTAACACATCAGCTTTAAACTGCTAGGGGATTGGGCATAAAGAGCTAGATCCCACTCCTTCGTAGTCGCTAATAAGTAAGCACTGTCGCTTCTTATTGATCAATCTTGGCGTATCAGTTTTTGTTGGCATTCGGCACCATTTTGTAAGTTGTATCATGTGCCTTTCTACCTCTGGCCTGCTCATTGTCCTGAATCATGTTGGTGTCTGGATCGGGTTGTGTATTTTATTTATAAATCTGTTTGTTTTCTCAGTTTGGGTATATAAATTTGTATGTTTAAGCTGTGGTGTGTGTACCTTACTAGTGATATATAAATTTGGTGAGTGTAAGCTGTTATTTATAAATAAACTATAGTGTATTTAAAGATACTTTTATGTTTCTAAGCTCTTTTAAATCAGTTATTTTATCTCTCTTTCAGTATGCTGCAAGGAAACTAGAGGAATTTCCCAATGTCAATGCAAATATAAAAAGAATTATTACTGCAAATGCTTCAAGAGCTGAAGAAAATAATGATAGACTTAATCAATAAGCATAAAAAGTTGACACGAGAAAAGCAATTAAAAGTTAAAGAAACAGTGTGTTTATTGACGTGTGTGAAGACATTAGAGAGCACAGCTTGGATTAGTAGTGTTAAATTTGTAAAATTAAGGACATTGTGAATGGATGACTGTAACTGTTATGGTTTTTAGAACTGTATGTAAATTAGTTAGGCATGTGAGTAAAATAGCATAAGAGTTCAAAGAGGCTGATTTTCTTTCTCCTCGTAGTTTCCCTTTCGGAATGCCAGCCTTTTGTTTTCAGGTCCCTTCCTTGAGTTCATTAACCCTTCTTCGACCAGATACTCAAACGTCAATACACTTTTGTTTAATTATACTACTATACAGGCTACTACTATGATTGTTCATTCCTACTGAGGCCTCGAAACCGATTTCCCTTATGTCGGAGTCGTTTAGGGTGAAGACGAAGTCGAGTCTTGGTGGTTCATTGTTGCCTCTCATTCTTGTGGGTCCCCTGACATGCTGGCTTAAAATGTTTTTTGTCACCACCTCCAATAGTTTAGCTCGCCGTGTATCCTCACCTCCATGCGGTTCCTTGTTCTCCCAGTCTATTCTTCCGTGATTGAAGGCCCCCATGATGAGCAGATGGGATCTATTTCTACAGGCAGCAGAGGCCGCCCTCTCAATTATAGTATTAACTGCTATGTTGTTGTTGTCATACTCTTGCCTGGGTCTTCTGTCGTTTGGTGGAGGGTTATATATATATCAATGCTACTACTACTCTTGGTCCTCCCATTGTCAGAGTACATGTTGGCCTGGTGAGTGGTGAATGTTCAGGTTGAAATCCTGCACAAATAAGAAACACAGTAGACTGATTTTTCTGCTTCATTTGAATGAGAAATGTTAATGGTTTATGGTCTAGATGATGTACATAACCATTACTTTTGGACTAAAATATACACTTCAAATATCTTGCATGCACTTTTGGCTTCCTTCCCCTCCCTGTCTGGCATGTTGTCGCTGTGAGGGGGCTTGGTGGGCAGCTGCCAGAGTGTGATGCTCCATGGGTCAGTCCTCTGTCCTTTTGCAGCCTTATGCTCCTGTTGGTGTCTTTACCAATTGTGCCAGACATCTTTTCCTTTTCCTCGTGTTTCATTTTTCTCCCCCCTCTTCTTCTTTCAAATTGTCATTTCCCGCCGACCTTTTGCCTGTTTTGATCATTCTTTCGGCCTTCCTTTGTTTTGGTGCCCGGGTGTTTGAGGAGGCATACTCTTGCACCCATAGAACTGTAGTACCCAATGTCTCGAGCGAGGACACCCATTTATTGTCAATCCTCCTTTCGTCACTGAACCCGATCACGACGGACTGATGGTTCATAAGGTGGCATTTGTGGGGCGTATACTCACGACGCACCCCTGGGGTCCCAAGCAAGATTGGCAATAAATCTCTTGTTGGGTGCTCTACCCTCTAATTGTGGCGGGTTTGAGGGCACATTCATGAATGAAAGTCTTGCCTCTCGTTTTCATGTCCATAAATACCGTTCCTCTTATGACTTCTCAGGCTCGTGGGGTGGGCGACCAAGCCCCCGAGTCGGACTGTGTTGGAAGACCGGGCTCTGTATCCCCCACTACATTGGGCCCAGACCTAGCTCCTTCTTTGACCCTCCTGATTACTCTCCCTCCCTCCCTCTGTGGTTGAGTCGAGCCATACGCCCCAGCAGTGACCACCCCGTCCCCTGGCGCATCTCAGTCTTTCATTGTGACTACTGCACCTTTTAACCCCTCTCTCTTTGGGGGGGTTCTTAACGCCGTCCCCAGACAGCATTACGGCCGTACTCGCATGATCCCTTCCCATACTAATACGTACCAAGCCTTGTTTGGTCCTGCTTCGTGGGCTAAATACTTTGATCTCCTCCCTCTGGATTCTACACCTCCTGATGATCTCTCACTCCATAAACATCTTGTTGATTCGGTGGATGCCTCTGTTACTTTAACCCCACCCGTTTAGGTACACGTGTCGTCACTGCTCCTTCACTGGATGCAGCTACCCGCTTAGCCGCATTGTCCTGCATTGGAGAAACCCCTGTTCGGGTCTCCAAAAACGCTCGGTTAAATGCCAGTTTTGGCACTGTTCTCCTCCCGCACCATGTTGCAACTGGTGTTAAGGACCTAAAAGACTGCCATGAGGATATTAAACATATCCTCGAAGCCCAAGGCTATCCTGTCCTCCGGGTAGACACGTTCACTCGACCCCCTCATGGTCGTCGCCGTCAGCCCCTTCGAGTTGTGAAAATCACCTTTGATAGTAGGACCCTTCCGCCCTCTATAATTCTTTCTGGTGCCAGATGCTCCTTTCGGGAGTACATTCCCTCACCTAGACTTTGTAATAAGTGCTGAAGTTCGGGCATGGTGTCCTCAAATCCTCAAGTACTGTGTATCGATGCGCCATGTGTGGGGCCGATGATCACTCTTAAGCCCGAGTGCACTTCTTCCCAAGCTCGCTGCCTTAATTACAGTGAGGCCCACCCTACCTTCTCCCGCTCGTGTATACACTACAAACTCGAGGAAGCCGTCCTCAACTTGAAACACCGGGATCGTCTGCCTTTTCCTGAAGCGAGATGCCAAGTTCGCCGTCTCACCCATTTCGCTGGCATATCCTACGCTCGCATGTTGTGTTCTACCTCTCCTCGTCCTTTCGACCTTACTCAGTCTTACAACCATTTCCAGATCTTAGACCCGAACACGCCCACCACCTCCTCCCCTATTCCTTTACATTCTGTCCCGAAGGGGCCCTCTCCTGGTTCTCCATCTGAAGTTTCCCTCCCTTCTACCCAGTCTGCCATGTCTCCTGTGTCTTCTTTCCCCAATCCTTCTTCCCATCCCTTCCCCCAGTCTCTTGGCCCTCCACGCCACCTGTCTGCCCAGGCTGATGTCCATCACCCTCCCAGCAATCTTATGTTGTTCACTTCATTCATCTTCTGTTGAGACAATTGAGTCTGTCGCCCAGTAAGTTGTTGCTGGAACACCTGTTTCTTTGAGTCAGAAACGCAAGCCTGGCTCCTCTCCTTCATCCTCCCGGCGGGTAAGAAGGCATCACTTTCTACCTCACCCCCCCCCCCCCCCCCCCCCACCCACCTCTGACTCTCTCGCTCCGTCTCCTTCCATTTCGGTGGTCGGGCCCCCTGTCCCAGCTTTGGAGGTTTCTTTAGCCTCTGATTCCCTCTCAGTTGCTGCCCTTGCTGAGATACACTCCTGGTTTCTGCCCCTTCCCCCTTCTCCTGCTGTCCTTGACGTTCCCTCTCAGTTGTCTCCTCCTCCTCCGGACCTTACCTGTCCGCCTCTGGTCTGTCCTCCCGCTCCCTTCACTCAAACCTTACTCAGTTTACCCATGCCCCCCTAACCCTGATATTACTGATCCTAAGCTTATTTAATATACTGTGTTCCTCTTTACCTTTGTTTCTTTGTTGTTCTCTGTTGCTGTCCTTTCTCTTTTTGATAATGTCTATTCTTCAATGGAATATTCGTGGATTTTATGCCAACTTCCATGAACTCTAACTTCTGATTACACAGTTTTCACCACTTTGTGTTTGTCTCCAGAAACTGATGCTTGGTGCTCGTCCTGGTCACTTTCGTGGTTATTCCTTTCTTTCTTGCCCCCCCCCTCCCCCCAGCTCTTGCTGGGGCCCATAACTTTACTGCTCTCTTGATTCGTACTGATATTCCCTTTGTCCCCCTACTATTTTCATCGCCTATCCATTGTTCTGCTGCCTGTGTTTTTGTGAGTAAATGGTATACAGTCTGTTACATTTATCTCCCCCAAATGTCCCGCTTTTTCCTTCATGATCTTAAGCACCTCCTGGACTCCTTGCCAGTGCTCCTGTTGGGTGATTTCAACTGTCAACATACCCTCTGGGGTGATGTTCTGACAAACACCCGAGGCCGCCTAATCGAACCTTTTGTTTTCTCTTCTTCCCTGTCTCTTCTGAATTCTGGTGAGCCCACCCATGTAGACTCTCGAACTCGCACCTTTTCCTGTCTTGATCTCTCTCTCTCTGTTCATCATCCCTTTACTTAGATCTCACATGGTGGGTTCTTGATGACCTCCACAACAGTGACCATTTTTCCATCCTTATTTCCCTTTTCTCTTTTCACACTCCCCTCTCCTTCCCTAGGTAGCAGTTTCCCAAAGCTGACTGGAACCTATTCACCCTCTGTGCTACTCTCACTGACCTCTCCTCTCTGCCTCTTCCTCGCACCCTCCTCCTTTTTCATGACACCATCTTCGATGCTGCCCTCCACTCTATTCCTTGCTCTACCTCCTGGGACACGCGGAAGTGCGTTCCCTGGTGGAATGTAGACTGCTCGGGCTGTCCACTGTAAGCGTGCAGCCAGGAAGAAACACCAACGCCGACAGACGGCTGATTCTTTTATTTCGTTTTGAAAAGCAAGTGCAGTGGCCCGTAGGACCATCTGTACAGCTAAGCGTGAGAGGTGGAAATCTTACGTTTCCACCATTACGTTCGAAACTCCTCTACCGCAGATCTGCAAGATTGCGGGTAAGTTCGTTCCAGATATCTCGCCGGTTCTTCACCTCCGTGGTACTCTTTCGGAGAACCCAGTGTAGGTCGTGACTGAACTGGGTTCCCACTTAGCTTCTGTTAGCTCTGGTTCTCATCTTCCTCAATCCTTCCTTCTTCATAAGCTTGTTCTTGAATCTCATCCCTTAGATTTCCGCACTCATTTCTGCCTTCCCTATAACGAGCCCTTTTCTCTCTCTGAACTTCAGTCTGCCCTGGCCCTCTGCGGTTCTACGGCAGCGGGCTCGGATGATATTCATTATGAGATGCTTCGCCATCTCCCTCCTTGCACGTCTCGGTATTTACCAAGTCTGTATAACCAGGTCTGGGAGTCGTTGTCAGTCCCTGAGGACTGGCTCGATGCCGTTGTACTTCCTATTCGGAAACCAGGGTCTCTCAGGACATCCCCTAAGAACTTCCGCCCTATTGCCCTTATGAGTTGTGTCTGCAAACACTCTTGAGGTTATGGTAAATGTTCGTCTGGTGTGGTTCTTGGAACATCATCACCACTTCTCTCCTTCTCAATTTGGTTTTTGCAAGTGTTGCAGCACAACTGATGTCCTGGTGAACTTGGAGGTCTATATTCGTACTGCCTTTGCTGCGAAGACCTCCGTTGTTGCTGTCCTTTTTGACCTGGAAAAGGCTTATGACACAAACTGGAGATACCA